TAGCAGGAAGGCGGGGGGCCAGTTGGGGAGAGAAGGCTCGCAGGCAGAGTGGTTAGGAGCAATCAGGCAGGCAGACAGGTGAGCGGTTAGGAACCAGCGGTCCCGGATTGTGAGAGGGATGTCCCAGATTGGAGAGGGTGTAGGCCGGGCTGAGGGACACACACACCCTTCCCCATGCCCTGCACGAATTTCGTGCACTGGGCCACCAGTAAAGCTATAATAATCAAGACAGTTTAGTGCTAGCAAAAGGATTGATACATAGATCAATGAGAAATAGAAAGTCTAGAAATAGAGCCACAATGTGGTCAAACGATTTTGACAAAGGTGCAAAGGCAATTCAATGGAGAAAGTATAGTCTTTTCAACAAATGGTACACACTAAAGAAATTGGACATTCATGTTAAAAATATGAATCTTAATCCATACCTCATGTCACATACAAAAATTAACTCAAATGATTTACAGGCCTAATCTGAAACCTAAATAAAGCTTCTACAAGAAAACATAAGAGAAAATCTCTGTGACCTTGGGTTACACAAGAATGATTACATCAAAACCATGAACCATAAAAGCAAAAAAAAACCCAATATGTCAAATCTCATCAAAAGAAAAATTCTCTTAAAAGACATTAAGACAAGTCAGAGAAAAGGATAAAAACATTTGCAAAATACATTTCTAATAAAGGACTTATACCCTGAATAAGGAACTCTTGAAACGCATTAATAAGAAAACAAGCATATTAAAAACAGGCAAAAGATTTGAAGAGATATTTCACTAAAGAAGATATACTGATGGCAAATAAGCACATGAAAAGATTCTCAATGTCATTAGGGAAATACAAATAAAAACCACAGCAGTTGGAGTTCCACTATATGCCTATTAGAATGACTAAAATAAAAAACAGAAAATAAGCTGCTGATCAAAACAAGTGCTGGCCAGAAGCCTCTTACATTACTGGTGGGAATGCAAAGTGGTACCAGCCACTTTGGAAAACAGTTACAGATTATTATAAAGTTTAATGTTGTTTTTTTTTAATATGATCCAGCAGTAAAACTTCTAGGTATTTACCCAAGAGAAATGAAAATTAATGCTCACATCAGCTTTATTCACAATAACCAAAAATTGTAAATAATCCAAGTGTTCTTTCACTGCCAAATGGATAAACAAACTGTATTATAACTCAGCAATAAAAAGGAACTAACTATTGATATATGCAAAAATACAGATTGAATTCATGCATCATATTAAATAGAATAAGCCAGATTCAAAAGATTACATATAATTACATATATAAGTAAGTTTATATAACATTCTGGAAAAACCAAAACTATAGGGAAATAAAACAGATCAGTGGTTGCCAAAGGGTAGAAATAGGAAGAGTGGTTCATTAAAGATGCACAATGTAATATTTTGAGGTGATGAAAATGTTTCTTCAATATTTTGATTACAGAAGTGGTTACACAACTGTATGTGTTTTGTTAAAATTCAAATACTCTTAATAAAGGTAAATTTTACTATATGTAACTTACACCTCATTTTTTTTTTAAAAAAAAGGAATCATCACACTTCCTACACACACACACACACACACACAAATGTAATGTACAAAAAGTATGCTTAGGTCTAAAATAATGTTCATATAGTCCCTAAATGAAAAGAATTTTGTAATATACACATCTGTCATTTTACCAAAGAATGATTGAACCAAAATTCATTGAGTGCCAAGTTACTTATCAATTTTTTAAATAACATCAATCCTTCTTTTTTTCAAACCAACCTGATACGGTGTGTTTTGTAGTTTAGGCTGTCTTACAGCAGCTGCTGCCCCACCATACGTTGTTTTTCCAGGATAAAAAGGAGAATCTCCAAGCTGACTTGTTTTAAGGAATGAAGAACTCCCAAGTGACTGCACAGAAATACAATGATAAGTTATAAGCAATAAACACTCTAAATTAATGTGATTAAATCACTTCCAATTAGTACTCACAGGGGAAAGTGTCCCAAAGGCAGACAAGTTGAATGCTGGTTTCTTTGAGCTGGTGGCAGTGTGCTGTGAGAGTGAATGAGACCGTTCAGCCTCTGGGGACCACAGGGGGAGCACTGAAGTATTCTTTGAAACAGTTATATCTGAAACAAAAATATGTAATGCATAATAACAGCATTAATTGTAATTTTTATAAATAGAAAATGAAAATTAAAACTAAGTTAGAAAAAATTATACTATGAAATTTAATTTTACTACCAAATGCCAAGAATACCTTTATCAGAAGCTCTTGAAGAAAACCCACTGGTAGTTGAGATGTTATCATCATCATGCTGAGAGGTAGAATCTTTAATTTCCTTTACAAGGGAAAATCCAGAACTGCCAATTGGGAATGCCGAGGATGTGGAGGGCTGACAGTGTAATGTAGGAGATTCCAACATGGAGAAATTCAGATGGCTCCGATGAAGAGAAGGCCTTGTTAATACATCTGGATAATTTGAAGCAGTACTAGTTGTTGAGGGTTCTTAAAAGAAAAGTATTAATATTGAATATATAACTTTAAAAAAGCAAAACAAACACAACAAAATGCTGGTTTTACTTTGAGAAAGCATACTATATACTAAATATAACTTCAATTCAAATCACTGAGGCCTCCCATGATAAACCCAACTGAAACATTCTTTAGCCAAAAAAAAGTTTCAAATAACTGAAATTAATTTACCTAAAATAGTGTCAAAATATATTTCACTGTTCACATACCAACTTCCAAAAGTGATTTTCCTTGAATTAATCCTATATAATTAAAGGGTAATATGCAAACTGACCCTAACAGCAGAACGACTGAGAATGACTGGTCACTATGACACACACTGACCACCCAGGGGGCAGACGCTCAATGCAGGAGCTGCCCCCTGGTGGTCAGTGTGCTCCCACATGGGGGAGCTCTGCTCAGCCACAAGCCAGGCTGACGGCTGCCAGCACAGCAGTGGTGGCAGGAGCCTCTCCTGCCTCCTCAGCAGTGCTAAGGATGTCTGACTGCAGCTTAGGCCTACTCCCCGCTGGCAAGTGGACATCCCCCGAGGGCTCCCGGGATGCCAGAGGGATGTCTGACTGCCAGCTTAGGCCCGATCCCCCCGGGGAGCAGGCCTAAGCCAGCAGATGGACATCCCCTGAGGGGTCCCAGACTGGGAGAGGGTACAGGCCGGGCTGAGGGCCCCCCCCCCAGTGACAAATTTTTGTGCACCAGGCCTCTAGTATCAGTATAAAAACCATTAGTAAGAAAATCGAAGCTATATAAGACATTCACAAAACAAAAAGGATAGCCCTGGCCAATGTGGCTCAGTTGAATGGAACGTTGTTCCATGCACTAAAAGGTTTCAGGTTTGATTCTTGGTCAGGGAACATACCCAGGTTGTGGGTTCAATCCCCAGTCGGGAAAGTCCAGGAAGCAACCAATCAATTTTTCTCTCTCATATCAGTTTCTCTTTCTCTCTCTCTCTCTCTCTCTCTCATATCAATAAACATATCCTCGGTTTGATGATTTAAAAGAAAAAGGGGGGGGGTAAGTCTATTCCTCTAGAAACCACTATTAAATGTGTACATTCTCCCAGATAATTTACAATAGTCCCCCTTTCTCCATGAAAGTTATGTTCAAAGACCCCACTGTGGATACCTGAAACTGCAAACAGTACCAAACCCTATATATACTATGTTTTTTTGGCATACATACCATTAATAAGGTTTATTCTATAAATTAGGCACTGTAAGAGATTAGCAACTAATAAAATAGAATAATTATAACAACATGCTGTAATAAAAGTTATGTGAATGTGGTCATTCATTTCAGGGGACACTTTGCTCAAGTCTTTGTATAGGCTCAATGCTTTCTGGCACAATATATTATCACTCAGAACATGTTTTCTGTTCGTATCTTCCACCCACAAATTTAATGCCCTTTCCATCTTAACTAAGCACTAATGCACTGAAGCTGTAACTTTTGAAGCCGCAAAAGTTCTAACAGCAAAAATAGCACAATTTTTTTTTACCTTCTTCACAATTTCACAGATAGAAGACTCATTCTTAACCGTAGATTTTAGCAGCCTCAGCATAGGATTTTCTTTCGTTCCCTATTAGGTTGAGAACTTTCTCCTTTCACTTACAGGAAGTACTTTCCAGTTTCTCTTGAGCACTTGGGGGCAGTTGAATAAGGGTTACTTGAAGAGCACTGCATTCAATCTGATAACTGGTAACTAACGAGCAGGGAGCATGTAGACGTTGGATAAAGGGATGATTCGTGTCTCAGCGGGATGACACAAAATTTCATCACGCTACTCAGAACAGCATGCAATGTAAAACTTGGGAACTGTTTATGTCTGGAATTTTCCAATATTTTCATACCACAAATGACAACGGTTAACTAAAACCACGGAAAGTAAAACAGTGGACAAGGAAAGGGGCACTACTCTGTGCGTACACAAATATATGTTTTCCCTAATCACATAATTATGCTTATGCATCCTGTTCCGTGACTTTTTTCATTTACCAATATAATTTTGTCTCTACATACAGAACATTCACTTTAAAGACCACATTGTATTGTATCATACTGATTTATTTTCATTATTTATGATTATTTCCCCAATACTCCATCAAACATGCATGCACTTTTATCTGCATACTTTTAAGAGTATTCTTTTGGATAAAGCTATGATTCTTTAAGTATGTAAGAGAGACATGAGAAGAAATTATGAAACAAATATTCCTAAGCCACTCACAAAAAAATCTGATTTTGCCCTAGCCGGCTTGGCTCAGTGGATAGAGCATCGGCCTGTGGACTGAAGGGTCCCAGGTTCGATTCCGGCCAAAGGCACATGCCTGGGTTGCGGGCTCCATCCCCAGTGTGGAGTGTGCAGGAGGCAGCCAATCAATGATTCTCTCTCATCATTGATGTTTCTATCTCTCTCCTTCTCCCTTCCTCTCTGCAATCAATAAAGAAATATATATTTTTTTAAAAATCTGATTCTGTAAGTCTAAGGTTGGGCCCATAAAACAGCCTGTGTGGTTGGAGGTATCCTGGGAATCAATAGGATACACGATTACATGGGAAAGTGCTCTGTCATAGTGGATCAGAGTACATACTCATTTTTGCTTATAACATTGTGATCCAAAAATTTCCCGTCAAATTACTCTCCCACACATAGCAACTAACAATGTACATTTCCCCTGTACTGTCACTGGATATTAACTGTTTTTGATTTGTCACCATAACATGTTAAATGGCATCATTATTTATTTAAATAAGAGGGATATTGAGCATCCTTCCCTATATTCATTGGTAATTTATATGTCTTCTATTAATTGCTTATTGATTCACACTCTTATTACTAAGATTAATAATATCAAATTTATTTTTAATCAGTAAGATCAGAGTAATATAATCTGAAATATTACAAGCAATTTTTCATTGCTGGCTGAAACCATTCATTTTGGGGTGTTTTTTAAAATCACTTTCTATTTCTCAATTACAGTTGACATATAGTATTCTGGTATCTCAGCTAGGGATTTAAGGAGGTGTTGTAGGGTTTCTAAATTCTGGCAGCCCTGGAACTTCAGTGTTCTCAGCACTGCTTTTTTCCCAAGCACTGCTCATTTAGAATGTTTTCTCAACTCTCTAGCAGCTGTTATTTGGTAAGCCTTAGGTGGGCTCATCCTCTCTGGATACTCCCATGTGGACTTATGGAGGCCTACACCGTTTTCTACTGTTCAACGCCCTTAATTCTCATTTCTGCCTGATGTGTTTTTGCTTGGACTTCAGTGCTCTGCCAAGTCTGAAAATGTTCCCAGAGAGCTAGGTAGAGATAAAGTTGACTTTGTGAAGTTGTGTGTGTGTGTGTGTGTGTGCATATGTGTCTATTGTCTGAAAGTTGTTGTTTCTTGTATTTTATCCAACTTTATAGTTATTTGCTAGTCTGGGAAACCTGTTATTCCAACCTAACTGGAAGAGTCTTTTGGAAACTTGACAAAGGATTCTAAAGTTTTTGAAAATACTCTTGAAGATGAATATAGAAATTCTAAAAAAGAATAAGGGGAATGAATGTGGGTAGGCTGAAATAACTTTTAGAGCCATTAAATGTGTTCTAAAGCTATCATATTTAAAACATTATAGCACTGGTACAAAAATATAGATATGTCATTGGGGGAAGTCTTTTGGAATTTAGTGCAGATGGTCTCTGACTTAACTAAAAATCATTCAACTTAAGATTTTTTGATCTTATGATGGTGAGAAAGCAATATATATTAAGTAAAAACTACTTTGAATTTTTATCTTTTTTTTTTTTTTGAGATAGCAATGTGCAATAAGATCCTCTCCTGATGCGGCTCCCAGTCAGGCATTAGATCACAAGGGTAAACAACTGATACTGATACTCTACAGCAGGGGTCCTCAAACTACGGCCCGCGGGCCACATGCAAATACAAATATTGTATTTGTTCCCATTTTGTTTTTTTACTTCAAAATAAGATATGTGCAGTGTGCATAGGAATTTGTTCATAGTTTTTTTTTAAACTATAGTCCGGCCCTCCAACGGTATGAGGGACAGTGAACTGGCCCCCTGTTTAAAAAGTTTGAGGACCCCTGCTCTACAGTACACTGTGTTGCCAGCTTTTTGGGGGGATGTTGTGTTCTGAGCATCTTAAAGGTAGGCTAGGCTAAGCTATGATGTTTGGTAGATTAGGTGTATTAAAATGCATTTTTGCCCTGGCCAGGTGGCTCAGTTGGTAGGAGTATCACCCTGTACACCAAAAGGTCGTGGGTTAGATTCCCCATCAGGGCACATACCTAGGTTGCAGGTTTGGTCCCTGGTTGGGGTGTGTGCAACAGGCAGCCAATAGATGTTTCTCTTTCACATCAATGTTTTTCTCTCTCTCAAATCAATAAAAACATGTCCTCAGTTGAGGATAAAAAATACTCTTCAGAGGAAGATAATAGAATCTGGAATCTCCACATATATTATTCAAAATGACAATATTTAGTAAAAAATCACTTGATATACACACAAAAAAAGAAAACTGTTATCCACAGTGGGGAGAAAAAATAGTCAAAAGAAATTGAACCCAAGATAGCCAGGGTTATACGTAACAGACAAAGGCTTTAAAATAGTTATTTTAATATGTCCAAAGTTCTTAACAGACCTGTTAAAATTATTTGCCTAGGATCACATTCACTGGGGAGAGTTAATCAAGGGACACAAGCAATCATTCATCATTAGGAAATTGTTAATATAAATTAGCACTTTTATAGATTAAATGGAATACAGAGCCCAAAAACAAGCCCTTGCATATATGGTCAAATAATCTTTGACCGGGGTACCAAGACCACCACTCAATGGAGGAAGAACAGTCTCTTCAACAAATGGTGTCGGGAAAACTGAATATCCACATGCAAAAGAATGAAATTGGACACTTATCTTAAACAATAAACAAAAATTAACTCAAAATGGATGAAAGACCTAAACATAACATCAAAAACTTTTATAAAATTCCTAGAAGAAAACAGAGTGGAAAAGCTTCATGATGTTGGTGGTGACAATGATTTCTTGGACATGAGAGGCAACCAAAGAAAACCAGATATATGGAACTATATCAAACTCAAACACTTTTGTGCACTAAAAGACAATCCATAGAGTGAAAAGGCAACTCACGGAATGGTAGAAAGTATTTGCAAGTCATATATTTGATAAGGTGCCAATATCCAGATTATATAAAAAAAACCACAAAACAAAAAAGTCAAATAATCTGATTAAAAATTGGGCAAAGATTTGAACAAGACATTTCTCCAAAGGTGATATACAAATGACCAACAAGCATATGAAAAGATGCTCAACATCACTCATCATTAGAGAAATACAAATCAAACCCAAGAAGAGATACCACCTTATATCCATTAGGACAGCTACCATCAGCAAGGCAGAAAATACATTTGGGCAAGGATGTGGAGAAACCCTTGTGCACTGTTGGTAGGAAATAGGAAATGGTGCAGACTCTGTTCTCAAAATTTAAAATAGAATTACCATATGACCTAAGCAATTCCACTTCCGGGTATACAACCAAAAGAACTGAAAACATGGTCTCAAAGAGATCTGTTGAACCATGTTCCTAACAACATTATTCAGAATAGCCAAAAGGTAGAAACAATCAAAGTGTCAGTGACAGATGAATAAATGTGGTATATATATGCAATGGAATATTAATCAGACCTTAAAAGGAAATAAATTCTGGTATACACTACAACATGAATGAACCTCAAAGACATTAAGCTAAGTGAAATAAGCCAGTCACAAAAGGACAAAGACTGTATGATTTCTCCTCATCAACTCATTCCACTCACCTAGCAGAAAATAATCTAGACACCCAATGTTCTCAAACTGAGTAGAGTGATGGCTGAACAACTCTGTGAACATACAAAAACCACTGGACTGTACACTTTAAATGGGTTAGTTCTATGATACATAAATTATACCTCAGTGAAGCTGTAAAAAATATCTAAAGTGAAATGACAGAGTATTATTTCCAAAAGATGCCATATTCTTTTCATGGGTAATTTTAATATTTGTAAACCCCACCTTAATGCTGTAAGTGGATCCTAAAAAGTTCAAGCCTTTAAAATGTAGTCACTTAATTGTAAGATTAATGAGATGACCCAGTTGAGCTTGCTGCAGAGAAGACAGGAGCCAACTGCAGTTATACCATACCTAAATTCATGTGCTGCGGGAGGCATTATTAGTTTCATTATAATAGTTAACATTTATACAGTTCTCCCTTAGTTCCAGGACCTATTCTAAGGGCTTCACGTTTATTTTTAAAAGAATTTATGAGGTTACAGAGGAGAAAATAGATTACCTTGCCCAAAGCCACATGGCTAACAACTGATGGCATGAAAATTCAAAACCAAAGTCTAAATCAGAACTTGCACTCTTAGCTGTATGTCAGCCTTAGTTTAATAAACAAAGCGGACAAAAAAAGATACCTAATTTGAACCTGATAATCACCCTCCTCCTACATTGATTATGTATTACCCAAATTTACCACAGCCAGATAATATAAAAATATTTATATTTAGGACATGTACTAGAAGCTATCCATTATCTACACTATCATGAAAGTGCAAACAGGGAACCCAGAAGGCTGATGGACCTTGAGCTTTGGCAAGGGCTAAAAGCTATGCACCAACTGTTCTGTCAAGACAATGGTGGCTAAAGCAATTTCCTGACCTAATAGGCTCAAAGTAAATCTTTACTAATATTTACTGACCTTTAAGATAGTCTGATGCTACCGGAATTTTCTGCCTGCCTAAGGGCAAGATGTGTATTCTAAAATTGAATAAAAGCTAACAGGGTCTGGGCCCCAGTGAAGCCTTTCCACTAGAGAGAGGGTCTCCGCCTGGTGCCCCGTAATTTCCAAATTCATATTTCTTGTCTAGTGTATTCATTTGTGTGCAGCCCTTTTCTAGATCCTGAAACCTAGCCGTGCAGGTTGCGGCTTTCACGGACATAAAAGCCTATCATTCATAAAAAAATATTCATGTTCTATTTACCTTCTGTATTACTGACTGTTGGCTCAGGAGTGATTCTCCCATCATGAATATTAGCACTCTCCTCATCAGCATATATCAGATGATCATCTTCTCTATTTTCTGGCCACTGTGGTACCTCTCTGGTGTCTGCTGAGCAGCTGCATACATCTTCATTCTTGTTGAAGTATCTCTGTAGCCATCCTGGCACAATATTCTTAACAGATTCTGTAACCCTGCTAAGAATGCCCTGTTGGGGGAAAAACATGTGAGACAGTTTTAGTAATTTATCTTTTTAGGTACCAATTTACAAAGAGCCATACCAAGAAAAACACAAGTATTTCCTTCCAACAAAGTTTCCTAAAATTCAGTTACTGGGGCTAATGCTGAAATAATGGTATTTTACAAATTCTATAGACAAATTCCTACTTTTTCTTCCTCCCATATGCGTATAACCATGAGTCAATAATTACCCCAAATGGCCATACTAGAATCTTCAAGAAACTCCAATAGGCCACCGGATAAGCAAAAGTTTTACACTTAGTAATAAGATATGCACTAAAATATTAAAATCTGAGAAAAGGCATCCATTTTGATCTCAGCATATTAAAGGAAGCAGTATAAACAATACCGTCAACAGCTTCCTCAAGCAATTACTTTATTGCACAATCTTTAAAAAAAGAAAAATTTAGACAAATAAAAACTAGACTTTTTTTAAAGACAGACAATAAGAGAACTAATCTATCATAACAAACTCAAGAAATAATATAAGATACTTTTTGATGGTAAAATTTCATACCAAATATTGCCTGAAAATCTGAAGAATTAATTTTATTATGGTAACTTTTAAAGGGAGAAAAAATGTTTATCAGTATTAATATTCAGTGTAGCTTTGCTATGTGCTAGGGACTATTCTAAGCAATTTATACATATTATTCAATTTAATCCTCACAATACTTTTTTAAGTTGGTATTAATAGTGCCACTTTATGGATGAAGGGACATTGAAGTTAAATAACTTGCCCCAGATACAAGCACAACTACTATGGTATATCTAGGATAGAGTAAAAGCATAGGTGGAGATTGGCAGGACCTATAAAGTTTCAGTACTACCTTCCTGTACTTTTATTAACTTTAGGTAAAATAAGAGTAACACCCCCTCCTGCTATTACCTGATATGAATTATAATAAAAATCCAATGAAATTATGTGAAAGCACTTTGCAATTTACAAAATATAACAAACATATACTGATAATTTGATCACTAATGATGGGAAAAAACTATCAGAAACAAACTGGGGTGAGAAAACCAATTTTAGGCAACAATGACCTACATGAAGTAGCATTAGTAGAATTTCAGAGAAAAAGTCAAGCAAGGGGAAAAATGAGTTGGCAGGTACAAAAAACAATGAAGTCAAGGCAGAATACATAAATCAACCATGAAAGCAAACCCAAGACAAAGAGGCCTTGAAAAATCCTGTCAACAGAAAAGATGGAAGACACCTGATACAGGAATTTGACTCGTATTTTCCTTATTGATTAAAAAAGGGTAGGGAACAACTGGGAAATATGTAATTATTTTTCAATGTATTCTACAAACAAATATTTTAAACAGATCTACAATGTAAGCTCTCTAGTAAACACAAGAAGCCAGCAGCCCTAGAATACTCACTACTACAAACACAACTGCACTGTTCCCTTTTTCTATGCTAATGTTACGTAGTATTAATTACTTTGGAAACAGATTATAAACCTACATCCAAATGTAATATTTATAAAAAACATACATATATATTGTTTTTACGCCAAATGTAATTAATATTTATAAAAAACATACATATATATTGTTTTTACATATTACTTATACTTAATATTTAATTACCCCCCTCATATTTCAAAAGACTTGAAAGTGCTATCAAGCTACAACAATTCAAATAAGACCTGAAAAAATGTAAGACACATATTTGATATGAAATGATAAATTAGCTAAAGCACTATAGCGAGAATTTAGTAAAGTAAGCCTTTTGTGGACATCCTCTAAGGTGTTTAGCTACTAAAAGTATTAGAGATTCCTGTGATCCCTACTCACCTGAGGCAAGTACAGAACTTAAATTAATATCATACTTAACCAAAGATCACATCTGTGGCAGCATTAGATGTTGTGGAAAATAATCAGTAATCAAAACTAAACAGTCAAAATTGATATAATAAAGCTCATTAACTAAAGCTAAAGAACTTTGCTTGGAGACCTTCTCTTTTCTAAACTAAAATCTAACCAATTTATCTATCTCAGCCCACAGCAACTTAGAACAAGAAAATTACAGTGAGTAAGAGCACAAAGAACTTGACAGTAAAAAGAAATACAGACGATAAAACTGACCTGGAACCATTATAAGAAAAAAACATGACTGTACTTCAGTATATATTTGTATGATAAATGACCTTAAGTAATCAAGAAAAGTTAAATTAAGCTCAGTATACTCTAGTACTAGTGGTCCCTTTACCAGTAATATCAACACCATCTCAGGCTCTTTCCCAGCTCTACAAAAGTCAGGAGATAGGGCTCACCTGTTTTAGCAAACACTCCCAAATGTCTTTGATGTATGCTAAAATTTGAGAATCACCCTTCTAGTTAAAGAGAGCAGGAAATTAGATACATTTAACACAATTACAATACATTTTAGGGGAAAGTCCCTCTATTAGAGGTTAATAAAATTATGTATACTTAAGTCTTAAGATTGTTATCTGGAAAACATAATGTGGAGCACTAGTCAGACAATTAAAATACAGGGTGGGCCCTGACCAGTGTGGCTCAGTGGATAGAGCGTCGGCCTGCGGACCAAAGGGTCCTGGGTTCGATTCCGGTAAAGGGCATGTACCTTGGTTGCAGGCACATCCCCGGTAGGGGGTGTGCAGGAGGCAGCTGATCGATGTTTCTCTCTCTTCGATGTTTCTAACTCTCTATCCCTCTCCCTTCCTCACTGTAAAAAAAAAAAAAAAATCAATAAAATACAGGGGGGGGCCTGCCTGGTGTGGCTCAGTGGTTGAGTGTCAACCTATGAACCATGAGTCACGGTTCGGATTCCAGGTCAGGGCACATGCCCTGGTTGTGGGGCTCCGTTCCCAGTGTTGGGCATGCAGGAAGCAGCCAATCAATGATTCTCTCCCATTATTGATGTTTCTCTCTCTCTCTCCCTCTCCCTTCCTCTCTGAAATCAATAAAAATATTTTTAAAATAATAAAATAAATAAAACACAGGGTGGGGGAAATGTAGGTTTATAGTTTTGAGTACTCAAAAGTTTATTCTTCCATTATTATTTATTAAGTATTGTATTCTTTTCCATATGAACTGTAAGCCTACTTTTGCCCCACCCTGTATATCATAATAAAATATCCTATCTAATAATAGACAAACATGGTAATTGACCATACCTTCACTACACCTCCCATTGGCTACTCAGCACAATATGCAAATTAACCACCAACAAAGATGGCGGCTAATTTGCATACTGCAGGCAGGGCGGGACAGCGCCATCCCGCCTGCTCTGCCGCCATCCGGGCCTGCTATC